GGGCTGGACGCCTCAGGCTCCACTAGGTCCCAGGCAGGAAAGTGTCAGTGAAGCCATGGAGACGACGCAACCAGATCTTCTCGTGCAGGCTGCCCTGGAGAAAGGCAGTGGAGAAGTCAAGTGAGTGCAGCTTGTAGTCTCGTTGTGCTGCAACATGAAGTAACAAACGAAGAGTCGTCATCTTCTGAGTCGGAAAGAAGGTCTGGAAGAAATCAACTCCCTCACGCTGACTGAAACCTCTAACCACGTAGCGCGCCGTGAACACATGCGGCGATCCAGGCGGCCGCTTCACCTTGAAGATCCACATGCCGTCAACTACGTTCGCTCCAGGTGGGGGAACTGCGTCGACGTATGTGCAAGTGGATCTCCAAGACGCCATCGCTGAGTCCATGATATCCAATGAGAGGTCCACCGACTTGACACCGCCTCACGGTATGTGCAAGGAGTTCGTATGTCAAGGGCGTCAGGGTCTCCCTCAGGAATTAACAGCATGAAACAGAGTTGGGGAGAAGCGGCTGCCAAGAACTCCAGCTCAAACTGCATGTCCTTTAGGACGTCACAGCCAAGAGCACACTCACCCCCGATGGATAAAGGACGGGCACCCTGGTGGCGTAGTCAAGGCGGCGGGTGGCGGCAAAGTCAGCAACAGTGGCAGTAAGAGCGGAGACAGACGACGAAGAGGCATGAGGGTCCGTGACTAGAGAGGCCAGAACACGAGTGACAACAGGACGGGTGTCATGGTAGTAGTCAGTGATAGGGGTAGAGGTGGAGGCGGTAAGAGACGACTCAAGAGGTGACGGGAGAACGGTCTGAGGCGGAGAACGACGAGGAATCCAACGAAGTAAGACAATGCGGAGGTCATTAAGAGGAGATGAGGGAGGTGCACGAGCGGGACAGCCAACTGTCCAGTCGTGCGGGACAAAAGGAAGAGACGAGTGTGACCGAGGAGGAGAGTAAACAGCCGGAGACGAGTCCGGAGGGGGGGGGGGGGGGGAACGTAGGACCATAAGCAGGAGGAGACAGCGAGCGGTCTAGAGGAGGGGAAGGAAGACCAAGGGCCTGAAAGCCACTCACAGGTGGAGACAATGACTGCAAGGGCGGCGGCTGCTGCGCCTGCTGCTGCTGCTGCTACTGCTACTGCAGTTGTTGTTGTTGCTGCTGCTGCTCCTGCCGCGACAGCTCCTGCTGCCGCTGCTCTTGCTCCAACCTCCCCGCACGATGCGGCCCATCAGGTTGCGCATCCATCTAACGTGAATCACGACCGTGCTACTAACATCGCACGAAGGATTGTGGTTTCCAACAATCATCTGGAAAGCATTTTGGTGACTTCCGATTTCATGGGTCCTGAGATTCGGCAGGCAATACGGGGGGGTAATTGTTGGGCAACAGAACCAACCTGCAGCCAACCTGGAAATTGTCGAAACCAATCTGCGGGCCGACTGCACTGTATTGCCTACGCATCGCATGTCAGTAGGCACGAGTGGTTCGGGTGTGTTACCATCGGAGCCGAAATGAGACCATCGCACATGCGAGGTTTGATCAGTTGCTTTGTTACCATGCGTAACAAATGTGTTACGCTTATTACAATGCAATAGTGTTCAAACAGTTTCCTAAGAATTGTTTGTGGTTGCTTACTATAATGAATAGGTGACAATAGGAAACGCCTTTAATTGAGATAAATACACTGTAGAATACTAAATATTGAAACCACAATAGAAGCCAAATCCCATGTTATAAAACATCATAACAATTATTCTAAAAATCAAGCTATGAAACGTTTTTGCAGGCGATTCATTTCAAAAAAGCTGAGATTACAAGGTAAATCATAAATATTCATAAATCTCTAATGCCACATCACTACACTAACCAGCATACAATGGCTTAGCAAGCTGTATCCAATACTTGTCTTCTCACTGTAATACATGTGCTTCCTTGCTCAACCTCCACCACACGAAGTAAATTATCAGCTGTTAGACGAAAAAAACAAACACAGCATGTTACCGTGTAGGAAGAACGGTGCTTGTCGTTGTAAATGGGCCATGGTCCATAATCTGCTGCATAAAAAAATTACCTCTGTTAATCGGACTGGGAACAAGAATTTTCAAAAACGATGAAACTCACCTGAAACGCAGGACCACGCGTATGCGCTCCAGGCGTCTTCACCAGCACCTCGTGGACTTCTTTCAATCAGTTGCAGGTAGCAGCTTACGCTTCATGATAAATGACTTCACGATCTGATGTGCGAGGACCTGAAAGAATAGACATGGCATGGAAATAGACAGCGTCGGTGAGAGAATAAGTTGATGGGAAAACACCATCAATAAAGCTAATGGAAAATACATGAAGTTTAACATAGCGAAAACGAAACAAACAACGAGCAAGAGCACATGTAGCGACGAGCAGGGAAAAACCTCACCGCCAGTCACGGCGGCACCGTGCTCAACATGAGGGTGCCCTTGTTCGTCGCGAGGTGGCGTGTGGGAACCATCGTGCACCGAGTTGTAAAACTGGTGCTCATATACCTACGAGGACCCTAACACCCTTCGTTTAAAAAAAAAGGCAGACACACAAATGGAGCAGAAGTTCAAACGGAACTGATATTGTTGGCCTTGTTCGTTCCCTGTTCGGTTGGTGCTTGCAAGATGTGAGGTGAGGGACTTGACAGTTGGGAAACTGGTTCCCCGTTCCCCGTGAAAAACTCATGTCAAACAAGATGCTGCACAGATAGAAGTTTTCAGCAATTGCGGACAATCACGAATAACCAAACCTAAGTACAAATGTTGCTCTTGTTGACACTGGGCAGAACAAATCACTCGATCGAGCAGCATTTGCTATTTGGGAAAGGAACGTTCCGGGGAGGAAAAGGCAGCGAACCAAATTCAACGGACAAAGCCAAGCTGGATGCTGTAAACATAAGGGGGACGACGCGCTGATTTCTGGTACAGTGCTGTACTGTGCACACCCTCACCCATCGGCGCGATTTGGGATTGAAGCGAGTGTGTGCAATTTGATGCACACATCAGCACATAATCGATGGTCAGCATGGAGGGATGAGGTGGGTGGTTGGAAATGGATGAACGTAGTCAGTTCGATGTTCCACCTTCCGTGAGTTGGTCAAGATTTTACGAGTCTCAGCATCGAGGTAGGTCCACTCGAGCATGCGTGGTGATTGGTCTAAAAGAAGCTCACTCTGCCATCTTGTAAATCTTTGCTGACATAGCAAAGCATTCCGGAATGAGGTCGCCTTGATGCGAGATCGTAATATAAAACAGTTAAGAGAGATATCTGGAAACAAAATACAAAAATCTTTGTGTGATATGAACTTGGTAAATACAAAACAACCCCCACTAACCCATGTGAAGAAATGAGGAATGAATGAACTAGGAAAGAGGTGGGTACAAGTAGGAAAACCTAGAAGTGTTGTACCCCATATAGTCTACCCCACTACAGCCTACACAGACTACAGCATATCAGTTTGACACACCCCCATAGGCAAAGTGGGGGAGAACAAGAGGCCACAAGACCAGTCAAGCAAGGAAAAGCAAGCTCAGGGTGGATCACAACGTCACCATACAATCCAAGCACAAGAGCAAGGCCGAAAGGCCGGTTCACATGCAAGATCATATATAAAGGTAAACATGCAAGTGCAGGTATAGAAAGATCACAGTACAAGCAAGGTCAAGAAGTAAGCAAGTGAGGCCAAGTAGGCACAAGTCCTAGCATCGTACAGAAGCGCTGATGATCACCAGGCGGAAGTGCCTTGGTAAAGATATCAGCAGTGTTGGCCTCAGAGGCCACGTAAGCAAGGCGCAGCTGACCCCGCTGCTGCAACTCACGAGCAAGGAAGTAACGAAGAGCAATGTGCTTCGTTCTGTGCTCCAGTCTATGCTCCCGACACAAGGCTAGCATGGCCTTGTTGTCTACGTACAGAACTGGAGGAGAACGAGGCGGCTCTCCTAGGTCAGTCAGCAGGTAGGTGATCCAGTGTAGCTCCTGTGCAGCCATGGCCCCTGCGTAGATCTCAGCCTCACAACTGGAGCCGAGAACAAAAGACGAGTGGGTAGACCGCCACGAAACAGAGCCGGAGCCAAGGCTGAACGTGTAACCCTGTGACGACCGCTGCGTAGCCTGGTCGTCAGCCCAAGAAGCGTCTGCGTGACCTGTGAGGACCACTAGATGTCGCCCTCCAAGCACTAGTCCCATGCCCGACGTACTGCACTGTTGTTCAGGATCCGTCACTTTGAGAGCTTACGACGAACCCATCACTCAACCAAACGCAAATCCGCTCAGTAGGAAGTTGCACCTTAGGCTTAGCTACCATCTCCAAGTTGAATCAGTTGTTAAGATGGTCTGTAGAGTGAGAACCAAGTAAAAACGTCTAGCAGCCGCATGACTAGTATGGTAGAGGAAGAACAAGCATTAGGGCATAGAAAGTTGGAGTTGGGGACTCCAAGAGAACCATGAGAGAGAAGGGGTTCTCCAAGAGCGAGGGAAGGATGGTAGGAACCTTCTTAGCTGCAAGGATGCAACCCTCATCATGAGGTCCTTGAGGTGTCACATGCAAAATCCAATCTAGTTGGATTTTGCCTAGGTGTTGCAACATTTGCAACCCATGCTAGAAACTTCTAGCCACCCCAATCCAAAAGTCAAAGTTGCCTTCCCTAACCACCCAACCAAAGATCCCTTTATAGTCATGTCCCAAGTAATCACCCAAATTAGATATAACCCCAAAAGGTAATAAGAAATCTAAATCTTGGAAATCTTGTAACTTGCGCGATCTTGGTCGGAATAAGGCGATCTTGGTGTCGTTGGAAAGCTCTGGATTTCTCCTGCATGATCAAGCCTTTAGACTTGGAGATAGACACAAAGATGATAATATCCAACAGCCATGCACAATGACATACGCTCATGCAAATCATGCAAGCACAAATAGCACGAGCACTCGGCAGGACGTTAGGATGACATGCACTCAGAATGACGTGCATCCAACAAACTCCCCCTCAGACTAACGGACTGCATGCACACACACCCACACACATGCATAGTCTCATGCACACAATCACACATGTATTCATGATACTGCTGCCCTCGCTAGTGCAATGCCATGCCACACATCTTAGCACACTTCCAATGTGCGCTCTCGGGAAGTCTCTTGGTGAGAAAATCTGCCGCCTGCTTGCTAGCCATCACATGGTGAAGCTCAACAGCTCCCTCCTTCACCATCTGCCTCACCCAGTGCCACCTAATCTTCATGTGCTTGTTCAGCCCATTCAGGATAGGATCATTGGCCATGCCAATAGCAGCCTCGCTGTCGGAGAAAAGTGGTGTAGGTCCCTCCTGTTCAGCTCCCATGTCCTCCAGCAGCTTCCTCAGGAGCACGATCTCCTTGATGGCATGGTACATTGCCATGTACTCTGCCTCTCCGGAAGACTGAGCAATCTCACTCTGCTTCTTGGACCTCCAGCTCATTGGTCCACCTCCGACCATGCACACAAAGCCGCCAACCGATGACTGATCCTCATCCTCTGAGGCCCATGTGGCGTCGGTGAAGCACGACAGCTTCAAGGTACCAGGCGTGACCCCATCTGCTCCAATATGTTTCAGCTGGCCGCCAGCTGAAAACTGAACACCAGCAGATGCCGTTGATCCAAGGTAGCGCACCAAGCACTTTGCCACCTCCAACTGCTCCACAGTGGGCCGTTGCACAACTCTGGCCAGCTGCCCCACTCCGAATGAAGCATCAGGTCGCGTATGCACAACTGCATACATCACACTCCCAATGAGTGGCTGGTACTCATTCTGCTGCTCATCCTCAAGCACATCATCCTCCTCAGCTGCCTTCTTCAATTTGAAGCCTGCAGGGAATGGTGTCATCACAGTGCGACCCCCAGTCACACCATACCGCTCCATGACACCGGAGATGTAGTGTGACTGATGCACCTTCAGCCACCTCCTCTCAACATCCCTCTCAATCTGCAGCCCCAGGTAGTAGTGGACATCCCCCAGCATCTTGCACTTGAAGTTGTCCATCAGCAGCCTCTTTGTCCTCTCAATCTGCTCCATGGAGGGTGAGAACAACAGTATGTCATCAACATACACCAGCAGCAAAAGGAACTGCTCCCCTTCTCCAAGAAGAAACAAGCAGTGATCCGCCTGGGACGTCTTGAAGCCTCCACCCAGCAGCACCTCCTCCAGCTTCTCGTACCAACACCTGGGTGCTTGCTTAAGGCCATAGATGGCCTTCTTAAGCTTGCACACCCGGCTGGTCCCATCCTCATAGCCGTCGGGCTGCGCCATGTAGATATCCTCCAGCAGCACTCCATTTAGGAACGCAGTGGTGATATCCATCTGCTTCACGTGCCATCCCTTCACAGCTGCGCCAGCCATCAAAGTTCTCAGTGTCAATGGCTTAGCAACGGGAGCAAAGATCTCCCCAAAGTCGACCTTCTCCTTCTGCTGAAACCCCTTGGCGACCAAACGGCTCTTGAACCGCTCCAACGCACCATCAGCTCCACTCTTCACCTTGAAGACCCACTTGCTGCTGATCGGCCGTCGCCCCTCGGGTAACTCAACAAGCTCCCAAGTCCCATTCTCAATGAGAATGTTGAACTCCGCATCCATGGCAGCCTTCCACTCCTCCTTTTGGGGTCCACTCAGTGCCTCCTCCACTGTGGCTGGTTCTGCAGGCAAGGGTGTGAAGAAACAGAACGCCATCTCCTCATCCTCTCCCTCATCCGCCTGAACCGCCATGGCACCTTGCTTGGGTCCTCCCAAACGGCTATACTTCAGCCTTGAGGGTGCTGCTGCCAATCTTTTCTCGCGGGTTGCAATCTGCTGCCCATGTGGTGAAGCTCCTCTCTGCACACTCCTCTTGGTGACCTTGGCGTTTGCAGCAGGCTCGGGCTGAGATGGTGAGTCCACACGTGCCGACTCATCCTCCAACCCCTCCTCCGCAGCAGGACCAGCGCCTTGCTGCTCACCACCGCCACTGTGGTCACTGGTCAGCTCTGACCCAGGGAGATCCTCAAGGTGCAGCTGAACCTCCTCCACTGCAGACCGCTCAATCTCCTGCAAACACAAGCCAATCTGCACCTGCTGCTGCTGCTGCTGCCAGTCCTTGTACATGACGTCCTCCACAAATTTGACGTCACGGCTGACCAGCGACTTCTTGCTCTTGGGGTCCCACATCAGCCACCCCTTCGAGTCAAGAGCCATCCCAAGATGGACAGCCCACACAGCAACAACTTCCAGCTTGTGCCTCTGCTCCTTAGGCACCATCACAAGCCCCATGCAGCCCCACACACGCATCATGTCAATAGATGGCTTCTTCCCAAGCCAACGCTCGTACGGCACCCAATGCTTGTCGCCAACATGCGTCAAGACCCTGTTCTTGACCGTGATGACATGGCGAACGGCATCAGGCCAGAACTTGTAGGGCATCCCAGCAGCCCCCAACAAGGTCTTAGCCGCCTCGCCAATGGTCCGGTTGGCACGCTCAGCAATGCCGTTCTGCTGTGGTGTTCCTGGGCAGGTCAGCTGATGTCGGATGCCATTTCTCTTGAGGAACTTGGTGAATTCCGCTCCAAGGAACTCTCCACCTCGGTCGCTCCTCAGCACCTTCACCAGCCGCATCGCTTGCCGCTCCACCATCGGCAACCAATCCTCCTTGATTGCCGCTGCAGCATCGCTCTTCTTGGACAAGGGACGTGCCCACGTGAAACGGCTCCATTCGTCCACCATGGTGAGGAAGTACAACACTCCCCCAGTCCCCTCAGTCCTCATAGGACCCACCAGGTCCATGTGCACCACCTCCAATGGTGCCTTGGCTGATCCCTCTGCACGTGGAAACGGGAACCGCGCAAACTTGTTTTGCATGCACGCCTCGCAGCTGCCATAGTGAGTGCCATCTCCTTGCAGTTGCAGCCCATGCACACACTTCTCCTTGTGCATCACCTCCAATGTAGAAACAGCCACGTGTGCGAGCCGCCGATGCCAAGTCTCCCAATCCGCTTGGCCCGAGGTAGCCGACGCCTTCACCGCCGCGCTTCCTCCAATCAGCTCCTCTCCTTGCACACCTTGCTGCTCCTCCTCGGTGACGCTCTCCTCCACAGATGCCGCCGCTGCCGCCTTGCCCGATTTCCGCCAAGGGAGGACCGGGATCTGCCACATCCGCTTGTGGACATCTCCCTTCTACTGCAGGTCCCAAATGAGGCGCTCATCGTTGTAGGCACGATAGCGCTCTGAGCCAATCGTCTCGGTGTTCACACCCGCATCTCCCAACCGGCCGGTAGAAATCAGGTTCGCGCACAAGTCCGGCACCCACAGCACGTTCTTCAGCCCCACGAGCTCTCCATCTGCTCCCATGAACTTGGCGCATCCCATGCCCATGACCTTGGCCTTGGCGCCCATCGCGGATGTGACTGTAGAGATGGGTGCGGGCTGAATCTCATCAAGTAGGTCCGCACGAGGAGTCATGTGCCAAGAGCTCCCGGAGTGAATCACCCAATGGGTGAGGGGGTGTAGGAGAACCTTGGCAGCCATAGCGTGGTCGGTTGCGCCTTCGTTCACGAAGAAGAACCCGGCCTTCCGCTCCTCAGATTTGCCGCCTTTCTCCTCATCCTTCTCCTCTCCACTAGCTCCCATGACTCCCCCACTCCTCGTGCCACCATGCTGGTTGCTCAATGAAGGCGGGGTCCAATCCTTTGGTCGTTCGTAGTATTTCCGCCGACGATGTCCGCGCTTCTTGCAGTAGAAGCACACCTCCCCTTGACCCTCGCCGCCATCCTCCTTAGGGTTGTCCTTGTTCTTGCCCTTCCACTTCTTCTTGAAGCCACTTTCTCCACCTCCAACTCCATAGCCAGCCCCCTCCTCCGAGCGCTCCACACTCCGCCGCCGCAAGTCCTCCTCTAGGACGAATGTAATCCACGCTCCATTGGGGTTGTTGGGAGTTGAGGTTGATCCCAAGGGCAGACCACGACTCCGGCAACCGTATCACGATCTCCACACATTGCACGAGCTCCGGGTACACCACACCACCGCCTTGTAGCTTCGTGAAGATGTCCCGCATCTCATCCAACACCGGTTGCATCGGCTCTCCATCAACGAACTTGATGTCGCGCAGCCGCCGCGCGAGTAGCACGATGCCGGTAGCATGTGTCGGTGAGAGCACATCCAGAAGCTTCCTCCAAGCCTTGGGGCCACACTCTGGATCACCCAAGAGGTCCTTCATGTGGTCAAGTTGTTGTCCGCCAACCGCTTGCACCATGAGCATGTACGCGTCGAACGATCGCTTCATCCACGCTCCTTTCAGCTCCGCGGCCTCCGGCATGTTCTCCTTCCCCTCCACCAAATCCAATAGCTTGTATTGGGTATACATCCGCCTCATGCGGAAACTCCAGTGCTCGTAGTCCTCCCCCATGAATTTCTCAATAGAGAACGCCTTCACAGGATCCACGGTAGTAGGAGATGGTGTAGAAGAAGTAGGTAGCGTAGGGTTGGCTGGTTGGTGAGTCCCCACTCCTCCACCAGCAACTCCCCCCTGCTCTCCAGCCTCTCTAATTCTATCCATCTCGTCAGTAGCACCTCCGGAGTTCGTACCAACCATATTGAGGCCTTATGAACGGTGGAAACTTGAGAAATCGTTCGGAGAGAATCATGCCAGAAATTTCGATTCTACGAAAATCGCCGTCGCGGACTGGATACTTCGAATAAGAACGCGGTTTGACAACCAATCGAAAGTTCGCAAGCAGAGCTACTAGAAAATGGTCTTACTTGACAACATTGGTGAGAATTTACGACGATTCATTGTCTCAAAGTCGACTACCCGCTCTGATACCACTTGTTGTTCAGGATCCGTCACTTTGAGAGCTTACGACGAACTCATTACTCAACTAAACGCAAAACTGCTCGGTAGGAACTTGTGCCTTAGGATTAGCTACCATCTCCAAGTTGAATCAGTTGTTAAGATGGTCTGTAGAGTGAGAACCAGGTAAAAACGTCTAGCAGCCGCATGACTAGTATGGTAGAAGAAGTATAAGCATTAGGGCATAGAAAGTTGGAGTTGGGGACTCCAAGAGAACCATGAGAGAGAAGGGGTTCTCCAAGAGCTAGGGAAGGATGGTAGGAACCTTCCTAGCAGCAAGGATGCAACCCTCATCATGAGGTCCTTGAGGTGTCACCTGCAAACTCCAATCTAGTTGGATTTTGCCTAGGTGTTGCAACATTTGCAACCCATGCTAGAAACTTCTAGCCACCCCAATCCAAAAGTCAAAGTTGCCTTCCCTAACGACCCAGCCAAAGATCCCTTTAAATTCATGTCCCAAGTAATCACCCAAATTAGATATAACCCCAAAAGGTAATAAGAAATCCAAATATTGGAAATCTTGTAACTTGGGCGATCTTGGTCGGAATAAGGCGATCTTGGTGTCGTTGGAAAGCTCTGGATTTCTCCTGCATGATCAAGCATTTAGACTTGGAGAAAAACACAGAGATAATAATATCCAACAGCCATGCACAATGACATACGCTCATGCAAATCATGCAAACACAAATAGCACGAGCAATCGGCAGGAAGTTGGGATGACATGCACTGAGAATGACGTGCATCCAACATGCACAAGTAGCGCAACACCCTCTTCGCTGCAGCCATGTGCTCTGGTTGGTGTCTCCCAGGAGCAACATAGCGTGCCAAGATGCTAAGACGGCATGCAAGGTCAGGTCGTGTGCAGGTCATCAGGTACATGAGGCAGCCAACAAGCTCTGGGTACGGGCCACTCGGCTCTACAGACTCATCCGAAGGCAGAGCTGAGAGCGAGTGGCGAGTAGACAGAGGAGTGGCCTGAGGCGAGGAGTACGTGAAGTCGAAGCGCTGAAGGACCTGCTGCACCATGTGTGACTGAGTCAGGGTAATGGTGCGCTATGCTCTGTCCTGGGTGATCTGCAAGCCAAGGTAGCTGCGCAGTTCACCCAGGTCTGTGCACGTGTGTCTCTTCTACAGCTCGGACTTCACGTGGGCGAGTCCAGCAGTGTCAGCTATGGCAAAGACCAAGTCGTCAACGTACACGAGGATGTAGAACGGCGACAAAGAGGTGTCGGTGCGCAGAAACAGCGACAGGTGAGTGTAGAAGGAGCAAACCCAAGAGCCGCAAGTGTAGTACTCAGTGTGTCGTGCCACTCACGGGGCGCCTGGCGGAGACCGTAGACTGGCCGCCGGAGGCTCCACTTGGTACCAGGGGGAAACGACCCAGTGAAGCCAGGTGGGCGGCGCAGCCAGATCTCCTCATGCAGGCTGCCCTGCAGGAAAGTTGTGCTGAAGTCAAGAGAGTGAAGCTCGTAGTCGCGCTGAGCGGCTATGTGCAGCAGCACCCAAAGAGTGGTCATCTTCAGGGTGGGAGAGAAGGTCTGAAAGTAGTCAACTCCCTGCCGCTGACTGAAGCCTCGAGCCACGTAACGCGTCTTGAAGACAGGCGGAGAATCCGGCGGCCGCTTCACCCTGAAAATCCACATGCCACTGACGATGTTCGCCCCAGGTGGGGGAACCTCGTCGACGTAGGTGCTTGTGGACTTCCAGGAAGCCATCTCTGTGTCCATGGCTGACTGCCACTGAGAGGAGTAGGGACCCTCGATCGCCTCAGCGTACGATCGAGGAGTCGGGATGTCCGGTGCATCCGGGTCTCCCTCAGGGGCAATCAGCGTGGACACGAGATGAGGCAAAGCAGCAGCAAAACACTGGAACTCCTCCTGCCTCTCCTCAAGGACGTCCGTGCTAAGAGCACACTCACCCCTGACGGACGGAGGACAGACAGACTCAGACTCAGCAACAAGACTAGTGGCGTAGTCTAGACGACAGCTAGCAGCAAAGTCGGCAAGCTCAGCAACTAGGGACGACGCAGCAGTGGACTCAAAGGAAGGGTCAGTGACAACAGTAGCAAGGAGACGCGTGACAGTAGGACTGGCAGCAAGAAGAGAGTCAAACTCCGGGTCAGCAAGAACAGGAAGAGAGGACTTTGGAGGAGACGGCAACGGGACACGTAGAGGAGCAAAGGAAGGACGCAGTGCCATCAGGTGTGTGCCTGGGACCGCAGGAGGACGCGGACGCGGAGCACGAGGACTAGTGCGAGCAGCAGGAACAGGCGATGCAGGACGAGAAGCAGGCTCACGACGCTCAGCAAGAACTCCAGTAGGACCAGTGTAGGGAGAAGGAGCAGGCAGGGGGGAGGCGGGCTGTAACTGTGACTGCGACTAGACAGGCTGTGGACACTCTACGGGAGGAGCAGGACCAGTAGAGGGCGGGAGACCAAGAACCTGCTCAAGAAGCGGAACGAAGTGCGGCCTCGGCCGCGCAGCGCCTCTAGAGCCAGCAGAGACAGCACTAGTACCCCCTGCGGCAGCACCAGCGCCAGCAGCACCTCCAGCTCCAACAGCGCCAACTCCAGCACCCTCAGACGTACCAGCACCAGCAGCACCACCAGCGCCAACACCCCCAGCAGCTCCAGCTCAAGCAGCTCCAGCAGCACCAACTCTAGCAGGACCGGCTCCAGCAGCCCCAGCAGCACGGCTCCAGCGCCGGGCAAACCACTCGCGCAGCTCCTGCGGAGAGAGTAGCTCCCGCCTCGACGAAGCACCGCGAGAGTCCACACGAGCAGACCCAGCACCCCCAGGCTCCGCGTCTCCAGGTACCACGTCAACTCAGGCCTTACACACCTTCACCCTTGACTCGGGTGCTTCCCGCTCCTTCTTTCGAGACTGCACCATGCTTACGCCGCTTAGTCGCCCGGTTGCAGTTTCCCTGGCGGACCCATCTGGGGGTCCTGTCCTTGCTCGCTTCTCCACTGTCTTACCGTGTCCGGCAGCCCACTCTGGCACCTTGTCAGGTCCTTACCTCCCCTCGTTCTCTACGAACTTGGTGAGAGCTGCTGACCTACAGGATGGGGGGGTTAACCAGTTCACTCCTGCGAGTCAGCGGGTGACCCAATGCACTTGACCACGTTTACCCGTCGGCCGGGGTCGAGCCTGTACACACTGAATACTGAGTCTCCTCCGAATGCTGAGTCTGGTCAGGTAGCTGCGTCAAGTCAGGTGTTTGCTGCAGTGTCCAGGTCTGGTCCTGAGTCTGCTCCCTGCTCTTGTCGTCTCCTGTCCCACCAGACTCTCCTTTGGCACCACCGCCTTGGTCACCCCTCCCTGCCTCGTCTCCGAGGCATGGCCTCCCGTGTCCTTGTCTCTGGTCTCCCCCAGTCCCTCCCTCCCCTCCCTCCGAGGCCTGCCCCTACCTGCGTTTCCTGCGTCGAGGGGCGGGAGCGCGCCGCCCCTCACTCCTCCGAGTATCCTCCAACAGAGGCTCCTCTGCAGACTCTTCACATGGACGTGTGGGGCCCCGCCCGCGTCCGTGGCCAGGGTCACGAGCGATACTTCCTGTTGGTGGTTGACGACTACTCGCGTTACACCACGGTGTTTCCCTTGCGCATCAAAGGTGACGTCACTGAGGTGTTGATCGACTGGATCCGCGCAGCTCATCTCCAGCTCAGAGAGAGTTTCGGCTCGGACTTTCCTGTTCTGCGTCTGCACTCTGACAGAGGCGGGGAGTTTTCCTCTGCCCGTCTGGGAGCCTTCTGTCGAGCACAGGGCATCCGCCAGACCTTCACGCTTTCGGCCTCTCCACAGAAAAATGGGATTGCTGAGTGCCGCATTGGCATGGTCATGGACGTCGCTCGTACGTCCATGATCCATGCGGCTGCTCCCCATTTTCAGTGGCCGTTTGCGGTTCAGTACGTAGCGCATCAGCTCAACCTTTAGCCACGGGTCTTCTTGCCAGAGACCCCCCCCACCTTGCGGTGGACAGGGAAGGTTGGCAATGCGTCTGCGCTTTGGGTCAGGGGATCTCGAGCGTTTGTCCGCGACTTGTCTGCGGACAAGCTATCCCCCCGTGCGGTTCCCTGCGTCTTCCTTGTCTTCCCCCCTGACGCGTCTAGTTGGCACTTTTACCACCCCACCTTGCGCTGTGTTCTGTCCTCCCAGGATGTCACCTTGCCTTACTACCGCACTGCGCCCCTCCCCCCGCCGCCGCTCTTCCTTGCGCCAGGTCCTCCCCCGGTAGACCCTCTCCCCCCTCAGGGTCCTGCCTCGTCAGGTGTGTCCCAGGTAGATGCAGTCGAGCCTGTCGAGGTAGCTGTTGACTCTGGTGCTGCTAGAGGTGCTGAGCCTGCGGGTGCCGGGTCTGGGGGTAATGAGCCTCGGGGTGCGGAGCCTGGGGGTGCTGAGTCTAGGGGTGCTGAGTCTGGGGGTGCTGAGTCTGGGAGTGCTCAGCCTTGGGGTGTAGAGCCTGGGGGTGCTGAGCTTAAAGGTACTGAGCCTGGGGGTGCGGAGCCTGGGGGTGCTGGGTCTGCTTGTGTGGCCTCTGGCGGTGCTTCGTCGAGGCGGGAGCTACTCTCTCCGCAGGAGCTGCGCGAGTGGTTTTTCCCGGCGCTGGAGCTGTGCTGCTGAAGTTGGAGGTACTATTATTGCTGCTGGTCCTGGAGGTGCTCGTACTGGCAACACTGGAGCTGCTGGGACTAGGGGTGCTGCTGGGGC